TCAGTTTCATGCTTATGCATTGTACAATGAACCTGTATAGACCTGTAACAGTCAACTGCATGAGGAGTTGGAAAGGTAGTTTCTGAAGATGTTACAAATAACACACATGCATACAATGCCATAATAACTTTTTATTATTAGTTTAGGACACTTATATATGTGTAACATCTGAAGATGTGTAGTGTTATTCATGTTTTCACATAATTTTACAGGATATTGCTATATTATTTCACATATTGTAGTTCTACACCAGAGTTCCCGTTAGAATATTTTTTCGCCGGTCAACATGTCCGTTAAAGTTTACATTTTCCGGACAAAATGAGAAAAGTGCCGGTCAAAGGTCTTCTTTGTTATTTATTGTGCTTTAAAACAAATTGATATGATTCGATATTAAACAAACTAATTATAGTAGATTAACTACATTGTTCAAAAGTGAACAGTAATTTACAATAACACGGGAATAATAAACGGAGCGCTCTCCCTCTCTTGACAGCCCGTCAGTATCATGCGGATCAGTAATGAGTGACCCGACAGTAAAACTAAACATATCTATAACTAGTGTAGGTAGTTTGAGAGGTAATTAAAATAGCTACGTGTGATATTCTAACCTGCAGTGTGTGTTTTGTCTGCTCACCGCTGCAGGTGATTATGCAGAGCTGTGTGTCGACTCGTCAGCAGCAGCTGATCTCTCTCTCCCGCCAGATTAGACTTTACTCGCGTTTATGTCCATATCGATCAGATCCAGCTAGTTCTAGCTAATGATAGGACTACCTGCTTATTAAAATACACCTAAACAATAAGCGTCGCTATGGGTGAGACCACAAAGTATAGCGCAGCATTATGCATTTGTTTACATGCCCACCGGAACCCCGAGGCATTACCAACCGATCAACGCACAATCAACCCATAAAAGGACATCTCTTTCTCCACATTAAGTGTTAGACATTAGAATTGACTATTCCTGTCTGTCACATACTCTTTTGTCTGTCACATAAATGGCGCAAGTTGCGCAACTGATGCGGTATTGTATTGAGCTAAACGGAAATGATTTTGAACGGACACTTTGACCGGAGAGATTTAGATTTGCCGGTCTTCAGCATATTTTACCGGTCGTAGTCCGGTAATTACCGGCTAACGGGAACTCTGTTCTACACATTAATATCTGATTTGTAAAACATAGACAGAAAGGTATATCCATCATTTAATGGTAAGCTATTGAAATTCTGATTCCATAGATGTGTCTCCCATCACCCACAACCCCTGACTATTCTCTCAACTCAGTATTTACATTCTTTAATGCAAAGAAAATCAGTAATATCTTTACAAACTACAAGTCCTTTTCTATCAGCTGTGCACCATTATGGTGTAAATATATCTACCAATTGGATCAAATATAAAAGTCAGCCGAATTAGTGTTGATACTGCAAGGAGACATAATATGTGAAGAGAAATTGAAGATGTGGTTTAATTGCTGATATATTTGTGATCCACGTCATGTATTCAGTTTCGGCGGCATTTCTTCCAGTTTTTCCAGAAGTCTTCTAATCAGGACTCTATAAATAGAGAACTACGGCAGATGTGTAATATTTCATGCAGCCGAACTGTGTATTACAATGCCGTTATGTCATGACGTTCAAAGAGAAAAGCAAGCACATTCAGAATAAAGTATTATTATTTTTATTTTTTTATAAATATTTTCGGATTTCACATCGCATAAACACCATATCCCAACGTGCATTGCGGCTAAAACATCCAATCACCGAGCTTCAACGATAGCTGAGGATTATGGGTAGTTCGATGTTTTAGCCTATCAAAACCTCTGAAAAAAGAAATGTGTCTCTCAGAATCGAAAGGGAAAAACACAAAAGCAGTTACACAATTTAAACCAATTCATGTTGTGTAATTAACAAGGATACAATTATGTCTTTTAGTGAATGAGTACTGCAAATATAGCTTTAAAATCATTTGACAGTGAGGGGAATACGGTTTTATTATGAACATTTTGAGACCGGAAATACTGTTTTCACCCTGTGAGGGTTGATGCTAACTTTACATGGACGCTGCCGTTACACGTTCTCCTGGCGAGACCTCAAATAATCTTTGTAATATCTATCAAACTATAGATCCTACACATCCACTGGACGTGGATTCTAAAAGTACAATATACACTTCTCGCTAGAAATCTAATCAAAAAGCATTTTAATGGCCAAACTATCCTACAATTTAGGATTTTCCAGAGAGGGTTATTTGTGAATATACGACCCTCCGGAGCGTTTGCAGTCAACAGGAGCACTAGAGGTCGAAAACTTTATAACGTGATTATAGGTTGTAATAAGCGCATGAACAATCAACCTATTTGGTCGTAATAAGGGCTTGAACAATCAACCTATTTGGTGTGAGTGTGTGTGTGTGTGTGTGTGTGTGTGTGTGTGTGTGTGTGTGTGTGTGTGTGTGTGTGTGTGTGTGTGTGTGTGTGTGTGTGTGTGTGTGTGTGTGTGTGTGTGTGTGTGTGTGTGTGTGTGTGTGTGTGTGTGTGTGTGTGTGTGTGTGTGCGTGCGTGCGATTAGACATCAACTCGTCTATATTAATGGCTTATACTTGGGGGGCACTGTTAATGGGTTAAGCTGATATTTGGTCTTCAATCCTTTTAGTGAAAGAGAGGTTTTCCATCCCTGTGGACAACATCTGGCACAGAGGTGGACGACTACGCGTTTCCAGATGTACTGACTACCAGTGGAATATGCTTTGTCATCAAAGATGAACTGAATGACAGTGGTGGTGAGTGACGACAATAGACCCTTTTCTCAGCAGCTATGTTGACGTCATAGCAGGGTAAACACAGGTGTAATTGATCAAATGAATTATGGCCCCGTTCTATTTAGTGTGTCACAGCCATTGCAGTGAGACAGCATATTATCAGGGCCCTTGACTGCCTACATCTTAAATTACATCTCTGTTTACCCAGCATGTCAACATGGCTGCTGAGAAAAGGGTCTATTTTACATTTCTCAATTTTATTGTATGCTGATTATCCCCATGCACGTGTCAAGCACACCACACATTTGATTCCTATAAACAATACTATCTTAAAAGGTAAAGTGTTGTTTATAGGAATCAAATGTGTGGTGTGATTGACAAAAATACATAATTTTGTACTTACTTGGGAATCTTGTTGAAAGCCTTGTTCTTAAGCTTTTGCTAGACTAAAAACCACCATTGCCATGTAAGTATTGTTCCCAAATATAGTGCTCTCTTGTGGTCAACGACTTTGGGACTCATACTTGCAATGGAGGTTTTCAGTGGGTTTGTTGTATTTTTGAGAACACTTCACCAGTAGATTGCATAAAGACATGACAAATGAAGATCATATCATTTTAATATTCATATTTAATATCTCTTGTGTGATGACATTATTTTCCAGAGCCATCCTCATCCTCAGCCTCAGGCACAGATACTCTTTCAGTCACTTCGAAAAGCAGCAGTGAAAAGGATTTTTTCAGTGGCACTCTGAAACGCATCAGAAAAGAGGAGGAGGCTTTGCAGGGTCCACAAGCCAAACATGTGAGTACATGTTCAATATGTAATGTAGACCATTGTTTTACATTTTAGTGACGTGTGTCCATCAGTCCATCTGTGTGTCTGTACCAGTAGATTGCTCATAAACCTATACTGCTTACTTAACGGGTGTGATTTTTGTTGTGTTTTGTTTTAAGCTGATAAAACAGATTCTGCGGACCAAACCAGGTGGAAGTGATGTGCTGAAGGAGTATGAGGAAAAAGGAACAATTAATCCTGCCACAAGAAAAGTGATGGTGAACATTCTAGTTGTAGACAGGTGGAGAGTGAGGGGTAAGATTACATTTGTTGTATAGCTTTGCATGAAAGTGTCATGTATGTAGGTTAAGTGTGGATGAAGTTGGTGCAATTGTATTTCTACACAAATTGAGTTAATTAAGTTTATATGTTCTAAAACTAAGTCTATCTTAGACTTAAATGAATTAAATGTAACCACTGACTGTTTTTGCTCTACAGGAGAATCCCTCAGCGACTGACCAAAGTCTGGTGCACTGGCGATTGTTACCCTGTTTCCCTCGCTCCAAGATCCACATGGGAAGACAGGATATGTGAGTTATTCTTGATTATGATCAAAGTAGACTGTTTTAGATGGCTTACATGGTTCTTTGAATGCTGTGGGATTTCTATAACATGCCACTGTATTTAAGAATTCCAGTAGTTATATGCATAGGGTAGTTTCATTCATTTGGGCGGCTATGGCTCAGGAGGTAGAGCGGATTGTCCAATGCAGGGTTGGTGTCCTTCCCCAAGACATTGAACCCCGAATTGCTCCCAATGAGCAGGCCAGCACCTTGCATGGCAGCTACCACCATTGGTTATGTGAATGTTTGTGTCAATGGGTGAATTGGTCAGAAAGGCGGTGGGTTTCTAGCGTGGCGACTGAAGTCCGTTCAGAGAGCGACGCGGCTTCCTGTGAGGTCCAAGGATTCCAGAATAGAAGAGAATGGAGGCCCCATGCTAAGGAGAGAGATAGGCCACTGTGATAATCATCCAGATGAGCAGAGATTTCAAGAGCTCATATCTGTGATGAATCATACAAATGACAGAGAAGTCATAATGAAGAAGATGAGAGACACAATGGAATATAGACAGCGCCTTGTCCACGATCCTGACAGATCCCCCCCCCCACTGTCCTTTCAGTATTCCCGGCTGCTGGACACTAAAGGATTGGTAATATTTTATTATTCCTACTTTTGCTTATTATGAATGTTATTTATTAGTAAATCTATTTTGATACACGTTTTAAGCAACCTTCAGTTAAATGGAGATGATCTACACCTGTGAAATTGGCATTAGTAGTACATTTAAAACCTGATGGTGGTTCTTGCGTTTGTGCTGTATATGTGTTTTAGATTCTCCATCCAAACTACTGGAAAAGTGGCCAACCTCCTTCAAAGCAAAGGTCATCCAACAGGCAGAAAGGCTGACTTCCACACCCTTGCTGAAGCGCTTGTTGTTGTCTGCCAAGAACCAAAGGGCTGATGAACCATCACTGGAATCACCAGGTATGGTTTTAGGAACTGCATTGTCATATCATGTCATATAGCCTATTGTAAATTGTCTATGTGTGGCTGGAGGGAGTGTATGACCACACAGTTGGAGAATGCCAGGGTACAGTGGATTTGGAAAGTATTCAGGCCACTTCACTTTTTCCATACTTTATTGTGTTGTGAGACTTCATGTCTTGTATTTTGCTCGTACAGGCACTATGAACTGTTGGACATTATACAGATGGGTAAAAAAAGAAAGTTGATCATTGTTCTCTTTTCTTACAGAGTGGGACAGTGATATGGCATCCATCCTCCTCCTTCTGCACCTCCTGTCACCCCAGCCTGCGGGAAGGAAGAAAACCCAGAAGATCAGTGTAGCTCAGGCCATTGACCATCTGGTCATATTTCACAAGGTATGTGGCAGGTTTAAGAATGTTAGATCTAGCCACCAGAACTACTACAGAGAGCTGTCACTATGATAAAGTAGGACTAGGCTAGTGCAAATATAAACTATTCCTAAAAACACACTCACATATTACACACACATGCGCATAGTTAGCCATGTAAAATGATAATTTTGCTTGCCTTGTCCTTCAGTCCTGTAGGAGTCTGGATGAGCACCTTCAGAGCCATATCGACAGCCATATCTTCTTGCTTCAGGGACCAGCAAGGAGGCCATCGGCATTTTCTTCATTGTGATCGACAAGAAGCTCATCCCCTGTGAGGCTACTTCCTTAGCAGCAATTGATGAACTTTTTAAGCTTCACTTTGTCTTAGGCACTAGCTATGATCCAGCACTCAAAAGCATGTACACATTTCTGCAAACAACTGTCAACTGTCAACATAGATGTTGACACCACCAGTGAGAGCCCTAAGATCAAGGAACTGAGAACTAGGTTTGTGAGTAATGTATAAGTGTTACATTTGCAGATTATTGCTTGATACGCCTGGATCCTTAACTCGGCACCTTAAGCTTGTTCATGGCTTGTATCCAGGGAAACAGTTTGATTTGATATGCGCTCAGGATGGCTGCTCATTGCAGTTCAAACGTTTTTTAGGTTTTTAGAAAATACTTGAATAAATACCATGATAAGGATGGGGTCATTTCAAGCAATAATCCTTCATTACCAGTCCAACAAGCTGCTGGTCTCAGGGAAGACATTTTACATGTTGGTGATTCTGACATGGATCAAGATTTGCCAAATCAGCAGGCCAGTGGGTCTGGATATTCTATCTTTAAAGACCAGTCTAAAGAAATATGTGCATCTATTATAGCCAAATTACAGGGCAGTGGTGTTGCCAATAGTGTTATATTGTCCGTTGTTGAAAGCATGGAAGAGTATTTTGATGAAGTTCACACAAATCTGAAGGAACAAGTGTTGTAGTGCCTCCTGATAATGCCAGTCGCATCGCAGTTGAGGAAGTTTTCAAAAATGTACATAATTATTTCACTGACTTTAACACAGACAGTAAATGGAGGAAATATTTCAGTGACATGTCTATCAAAATTATAGACATGAATACAAGATGTGAAGATTAAACAGTCATTTTATTGTAATGTTCTTGCAGAAATAACTGTATAACTTATACATTAGCTTCTCAGAAGCAGAACAAAATAAAATAAAATAACTTAAAGGGGCCTGGCTCGCCCTATCATGCTTTTTGGGGTTTTCCCTCAGACAGAGGATGAAAAGAGGCATTTTTTAACATTTGTAAATCAGTTACATCTTCATCCAGACATTTCAAACTGACAACCTCGACAAGAGATCCTTAAAACATTGTCCTACAGTGACATCATGCAAAACTGTGATATGAAGAAATTGGTAAAAAGGCTAAAATGGCAAAAAGATAAAGGCGAGTACGTATATTATTCTGGATTGAACAAAGTATTTGAGCTTAAAATATGTCAACTCCTAGTAAACGACCAACAATTGCTGAACCATACATGGAAACGTTGACCTTTAACAACATTTAAATGCAGTTTTCCAATTCACAATGACATCTGTACGTTTAACTGGTTTATCAAGCATTCAATGAAAGGCCAAATTATAATAGGTGTAGGAGCTCACATTAATACACTGTCAGTGTTAATAAACTAAAAAAAGACAAGGCGATGTGCCTGCAAGACTGCACTCAGGTAAATAAAACATATTACCGGTGCGCAGCAGCTAACCTGCCTGCGAGCCTTCGCCCAGGTCACATTTACACACGGCGCGGCTGAAGCCCGCTAGCACTATTAGCACTAGCAGTATCGCTAGCAGGCTGTCAAATACGCTGCACCGTTTTAGATTCAATGAGTGTCTCGTTTGCAAATGCTTCATTAAGTTGCTTGTGTTACCCCCTTTACAAGCAACTAATTGAGTACATAGATTGCACCTTGCACTATCGCCACTACATTTTTTTAAGTGCACCCAGACCTTCGATCGCTTCGCTTTGTCCGCCATGCCTGCGGGAGTCTCACAACAATAATAAGAGAGCTGTTGAGAGAGATGACGAGTGGCATTTACAGTGGCCAATCAGAGGGGTCTCAAACCGGATATATCAGACGGGATGAGGGTTCCCAACAACCAGAATGGTTTAAAGTTAAACTAAGGAAGTATACGTAACACATACCGATAGCAGCACCGTTTGTCCAGCGGCTTAACGGTATACCGATACCGTCCAATCAGGTACCGGTATTGACTTAGTACCGGTTCTCGATACCCATCCCTAGGTACCAGTCAACGACACTTTCATTTATGTACCCTTCACTAGCAGGAACCACGCCACAACAGTGTGATGTTTGTAAGTTTATTGAAGTAACATGTGAATGATATGAGGGGGGTGAAGGGATGATCTGGGAGGACGAGCTGTGGTCCGTGCAGTGGGAGACTCAGAGTGGGGATTCCGTCTCCGGCATGATCTGCGTGGGCTGATTACGGCCCCCGGACGATACCTGGAATTACAAATGTTAGTATACACAGTATATAAATATGCACGGTTTAAATATAAATGGTGACGGGCAGCGGATGTAGGGATGAGGGATGTAATGATGGAGGGATGTAGGGATGAGGGATGAAGGGATGATGGATGTTGAGGGAAGAAGGGATGGATGGATGTATCGCTCGGTGTGAGTCGGAAGGGGAACTGTATGGGTAGAAGGGAGAGGGAGGGTGGGTTGAAAGGATGGAGACAAGCAGTGGCCGGAAGTTTTGCCGGATATAAGTAGGGGTGGCCGTGGTTCGAGGCGGAGTTTTAGGCGTGGCCATGCTCCTGAACCTATGTTAACAATTTAACCTAATTTCACTAGCAGGAACCACAAAGTTTATTGAATTAACATGTCAATGATATGAGGGGGGTGAAGGGATGATCTGGGAGGACGAACTGTGGTCCTTGCAGTGGGAGACTCAGAGTGGGGGTTCCGTCTCCGGCATGATCTGCGTGGGCTGATTACGGGCCCCCAAAAGAGGCAGGTCTCCCTTGAAAAAGAGATCAACAGAGATGGGGTCGTTACTAAAAAAAAGTAATATATTACATATTACTTTTTAAAAAAAAGTAATATATTACACTACTTCGTTACTCTCTACATAAAGTAACGCGTTACTTTATTTGTTACTTTACTCGTTACTTTACTCGCAGGGCCGGCCCGCCCCTACCTACAGGCAGATCACGCAGACTGCGGCGCACCTACAGTGTAAGCGTGCCACAGTTTTGCCTCTGCGAGACTCCACTTGCACCCACAATTACTATTGCATTAAGGAAGACATAACACAAGTATTTCTTTTTATATGCTCTAAAATAGGCTACCAGCCTACCACAACAAACTAACAGTCTGTGAAACGTCAAGACACTAATTAATTAAACCAGTTCAAGACGCATTATTCTTATCATTCTTTATGAGCGCAGTAACGGTAAGGTATCTAATTACTTATTTATTTAGTATTCCATAACTTAGTAACAGAGATGGTAAAACTAAAGTGGTAGAGACATGGCAGAATTCCTACAATGAAGCGGGGCATTGAACTGTTCACCCGTGAGAGGGCGATCAACAAAAGAGAGCGAGCGGCCCCGTTGAGGGAGTTTACAGATGAGATGACTCATCCATGTTTATGCAGCACTGCACGTGGAGATGTGGTCTCGCAAGTCGCGCATATTACATAGGCCTACATGTATATAAACCTGCGGCGGAAACCCCTCTTGTCTGTCAGTGAGTGTGATTATTTTATAAAAGTAACGAAGTAACGCGTGTCGGGGCAATGTTAGTAACTGTAGTGTGATTACTGAATTATAAAAGTAACGCGTTACACTACTCCGTTACCAACAAAAGTGATATTATTATCAACTCTGGAGATCAATGATCTCAATGGGATTTATCTGTATAAATAAAGGTTTGAAAATGAAAATGAAAAAGAGTCGGATTAAAAGCAGCTGACTTGAGCATGTGCATGTCTGACATCGTTTAGATTGTTGCAGATGTAGCGTGGTACGCTTGAGATGACCAGCGACCGAGGGCCTAGATGGTTTGGATAAGAGATGCCCGGTCTAGCTGCTGTGGACGCTGCGCCGATACGTGAGAAATGGCTCTAATAATGTTCTGAGAATGCCCCCAAAATGTGCGGGATGTTCTGAAAGTGTTTCTGGACCAGAAACGTGTGGCTTGAAAATGAAATGCCCGGAACGAATGACTACATCTTCACTTCTAAATCCAACTAAACATTACCATTGAGGAGTTAGAATGATGCGCGCGCGGTTTGCCCAGAACCGGGCCTCTGTTACACTCGGGAAAATACGTTTATGCCATAAATGTTAGGTTGTGGGGGCAGGTGCTCCTGGTATGAGCGACGCCGCGGAAAGAGCAGATGTGAATTAGGCGGCAGTTAGAGAGAAAGCAGCCTAGCTCATTGAAGTTATTACACGCCATCCTGCCTCCCTGCGGGTGATAGACGGTTCCTATAGACGCGTGCGGGTGCGTGTGTGTTGTGGGCGTGTGCATGCAATGTGAGTGTGTTTCAGTGCGTCTGAATGTGTGTTTGTGTGGATTATTGTTTGAATCAGTGTTTCTCTTTTTGACAAAGCACACTTTGATTGTGGAACCTCTGGAAGCAGTTGAGGTCCAAAAAGGTTGTTTGTTGCCTGCCGTGACAGGCAACAAACAACCTTTTTGGACCTCAACTGCCATAGAGGGTTATTTTTTTATTTTTGTACATATACATTTTGGCTGTTGAACAATATTGAATGTTGGTTGAATTGAATATTGTGAGAATTTGTAAGTCTTAAGAGACATGCCACCATTCAAATAAAGCACTTGTCATATATGCTAATATCTGGAATGATTTATTGGTCATTGTAAATGTAACCATAATACCAATACACTACATTTGACACTAGATTAGTGTTCATGTTGTACTCCCATAGGGTTGAGGCTAATGCAAAATGCAACACCAGTATAATGTGCATTCAACACTAGCTCAGTGTACATTTCTAACTCTTAAAGGTGTTAGATGGGATACATTGTTTCACTACTGTAGTGTTACTCTACACCAGGACAGTGTAAAATTGCAACACGTTTAACTCTTAAAGGTGTTAAATGGGAGAAGATGTATCACTACTGTAGTTTTACTCTACACCAGGACAGTGTATAATTGCAACACTATTAGTGTAAATGTTTAACTCTTAAAGGTGTTGGATGGGAGAAGATATATCACTATTGTAGTTCTCATTCATAACACTCCGTTCGATGTCTCACTATGGATGCGCCTCAACGCGTATGCA